GGTGTGGGTGGGTGTGGGTGTGGGTGGGTGTGGGTGGGTGTGGGTGGGTGTGGGTGGGTGTGGGTGTGGGTGGGTGTGGGTGGGTGTGGGTGGGTGTGGGTGGGTGTGGGTGGGTGTGGGTGGGTGTGGGTGGGTGTGGGTGGGTGTGGGTGGGTGTGGGTGGGTGTGGGTGGGTGTGGGTGGGTGTGGGTGGGTGTGGGTGGGTGTGGGTGGGTGTGGGTGGGTGTGGTGTGGGTGTGTGGGTGTGTGGGTGTGTGGGTGTGTGGGTGTGTGGGTGTCTGTGTGTGTGTGTGTGTGTGTGCGTGTGTGTCTTTGCATCATGTGTATATGCATGTACGACCTAAGTGGGCATATCGACAAACATGAATGGACATGCTGAGCTTTTCAGGCCAGCACATGGTCTCCACGCATGGGTTGAGATGCATTCCGAGGGGGCGACCCTGGGTTCTTTTGTTTTTAAACGTGCATGTTGTCAGAAATCCTCGCCAATGACGGTGATTCAGACCGTGGCGTTCTGCTGTAGAACTTTAGAGAGGGCACCTCGTGGTTGCGCTAGCTGTTCCAGTAGCCATCGATCCATTGAGTCCGCCGGTGGAGTCTGCAATCCAAGCACCTGCAGAAGCTCAGAGCCTCTCTTCCTCTTCCGCATTCTATGCCCTGTGGGTTCGGGCCTCGGCACAAGTCTGCGCGTAGAACTTTCGAAGCCTTGGGGTCGAACATCCCCAAATCGCAGCCCAAAGACCATGCGATGCCCGATCTCCATGTCAATGTGGCTCTTTTGCAGCTACGGCTGGGAGCCAGTGCGCTTCGAAGTACTCAGCGCGCTGAAGCCTCGGGATGTTCACAATGATATGATCCACAGAACACAGGCACTATGACAGTGTATAACCACATAGTTTCGTGACTAAGTACCAATATGTGCAAATATCTTGTTCGAAAAAGTATCGTGGCATGCGCTCATATGCCTCATATGTCCAAAAACAATTGTCAGCAGTTTCCAATCTTTGTACAGTGTTGTGCTGTCTCTGCCGCACTTAGTTCACTGCTCCTTGCTTGGGGACGCCGTCGCCGTCGTTCTCAAAGCCTGCCACTCGGCTTGGCCCCCAACAAGTTCTGCGGACTTAGAAAAACCTATGCGTAGTTGAGTCAGGAATTCGCGGTGACCTGAGCGGTGCGATCCGGCTCGGAGAAGTCCCACAAGGCCTCGAGACGGCGGGAGCTCCTTGGAGCGATGTGAAACTGGAGCCGAGGCAGGCGCCACGCCCTTCCTTTTCGGGACCTGGCGCAACATCGAGGTCTCCAACACGCGAGAGCAACAAAGGAGACTCTCTGAAGACAGCACCATCGAGCTTGAGACGGCCTCCGCAAATCATATGGTGCGACATACTCAGGGAACAGTAGCACATCAGGATGCGGCGGATATGCTAACTGTGAAAAAACATGAGTGATGGTGACAAGAAACATGAGCCACGATGACCCAAGCATGAACAAACACTGGACAACTGACACCAGGCGACCTTTTCAGAGGGACGAGCACGAAGAGAGAAGCCGCTTTCGTTTTTGTTTGCTTTCTGTGTTTGCTGGCACTTGTTTCGGACACGTCTCTGTCGATTGGCATGCTCCTGCACGACTTTTTCGGAATGGTAGCGGGATAAGAAGGTTGGGTAGGAGGCTTCGTGGGTGTGCAAAGCTTGCAGGCATCGTCTTTGAGGCTGCAAGGTTGGGCCTTTCGGTCCAAAGTCTTCGCGTAGTTCGGGGTTTAGGCCTTCCACGGGACCATGGATGCTCATGAAGTGGAGGAAACGCCGTAAATACTGGTATGTGCAAGGCTACGGAGACACAGCAACAGAAAAGACCAAGGATGGTTTAGGCATCTGCCATGTGAACAAATGAACATCGGAGGTGCGTGCTGTACAGCACTGGCCGCAACATGGTTTCGTTGAGTGGAAGCCACCAACACCAACACCGACACCGCCACCACTACCACCACCACCACCGCCGCCGCCAATACCACCACCAATACCACTCCCCCAATACCACCACCAAACCCACAATTATAGGTTTCGGGGTCGCTCGCAGCAAACACTGATACAAACGAATGAGCACATGCCCAAGCTCAGGCACACATGCGGCACTAACAAGAAACATGCTAAAGTCAAAACGTGCACTGCAGGCGGCCAGGCATTTCTTTTTCACGCGGACGTATCCGTCTCAGGGCTTGAATCTCAAGCAGACTGCCGAAGGAGCAGACAACATGTCCCATAGGACTCCTCCCATAGGACCACTGGCTCCCGGCATTAAAGATTCCTCACCCAGGGCGGGCGGGTGGGACAAAAACTACAAGCTTGCAACAGCTGCAAGCAATGCTATGGGACGTGCTCCCTCCCACCCACCTCGAACCTGCATGTTACGGCGGGACGAGGAGGAATTTAACAACTGCTCATCTGGAAAGATGGTAGCAAAGCTGACTCACGACCGGTCAGGCAATCCCTGCCCGAAACCTATAAAGAGCTATTGATTTATCAACGGCATACGCACCACCACTAGCACCAGCACCAGCACCGGCAGCAGCAATGACCACGACCACGACGACGACGACGACGACAATGCCGACAACGGCAACCAGAACAAGAATAACAAAGAAAAACAACACGAACGACACGAACAGCAACAAGAACAACAAGTACTGCAAACACAACAGCAGCGCAGCAAGTAGCTGCAGAAGCAAGATTGAGCAGCAGCGGTAGAAGCAAAAGCACTCGCAGCTGTAGTAGCCGCAACGGGAAAGCGCAAACAACAGGACATGGGCAAGTGGGGTGCTTGCATGCCCTCGCACGCACGAGTGCTGCAACACAGTTGCAGCCACAAGACAGGCCGTCAACACATCGCTGCCCTTCCAATCGATGGGGATGATGCTCTCCCGCTTTCGCTTGCCCTTGCCTGCCACGGGAAATCACCAGCCACCTCAGCATAATTTTCATTGCTCCCCAGAACGTCCTGCCTGACATCGCCAATGGAGATGTGAAGCTTACATGGCTCTCGTGCGTTAGGGTTGTTGTAGATTGTAGAGCTGTCGTGTCTTGCATGTGCCACTGAGGCGTCAAGGTTCAGCTAGTGTAAAGCACAATGGCCACACACTGACACGCAGAGGCTCTATCAGAACGCTGGGTGGACTTTTACAGTGGCTGGGATGCTTGCGTTTCTCCTCGCTAGCGGTGTGCTTGCAGCTGGCTCACTCCTGGAGTGGAGTGAGGCGTGGAGAACCGATGAAACTATTCAGGTGAAGATGAGCTGCTGCGCTCTGCTTGCGTCAAGAGGATGGGGTCCGTACTCAAACTATACTCGGTGCCACAGAAGATGCTGTCCATTCAAGCGCGAATCCTTTCTCCCCACTCGCCAGACGCAGTCAAGGAGTCTGACCAGGGTGCCTATAAAGCCCAGCACCTGTCACCCAAGTACAGCGAGGCTCATGTATTATGAGCCACCTGACTTTCCTTTTCGACGAGATCTATATGCACACACCTCAAAGCTCAGGTGAGTTGGATGTAAGTTCTACATTCTACCATTCCATACCCTATACGCTAAATCCTACTCGACCTTAAACCCAAGTATTCGCAATCATGTGGTCCGCGCTTCTCGCGACCAGCTAACTGTCTCAGACTCCGGCTGCGTCGTACTAATAGCACGATGTGTTCCTACAAGTAGCTATTATGCTATCCTGTACCAGTAATTATACATGGTCATAAACGCCGATGACCTATCCAGCATGGTCAAATTCCGTGAGGAGATCAGATTCGGCTGTGTGCGTTTACTGCAATCTTTTGCACTCTTGCTACACACAGCATCATGTACCATTCTATTCGTTTGCCTCTGAATTCATGTATACATGTATGTGCTGCAAGCTGGGCACGGCAATGACAGGCAATGTATATGCACTCTTGTTCACGAGGATGTACCTGGGTATTATGTTGCTGCATGATGTCCTCTCTCACCTGACTTATTGACGGAAGAGAGGAGTTGCAGATCTGATGCAGCTCTGAAGGACCAGGATACGGTGAGTCGTCGTGGCCTTACGAGGCTCTGGCTCGAGGGCACAAGTAGCAGGATAGGCACAGTCCATTGATACTGGCATCATCCACAACTCCACTTTGTTAAACAGTTCCGAATGCTCGAGTTTTTGGCAAAGCTGCAAGGTCTCGACAAGCCATGGACTGACCTGGACCTTGGACTTTCAGGATCGCTGGCTCTCGACACGGGATCAGAGTGCTCAGAAGCGCATCTTGGCACACTCCTGCCCATAATTGCCAGCACAATGTAGGAAAAGATGTCAAACTGATGCGTACTTGGATATGGCGAAGACAGGCCGGCAGCTCAACATCTACACTACACTGATCGGCCCACGACAAAGGTAAAGAAGGCAAGAGGCATGGCAGACACTGACAAAATGGCGGGGCCGTCACCACTGCCCTCAAAATCAGTACGTTTATCGTGCATAGCCCGACGGACACCGATTATCGTCACCAGGCTAGCAATGCGAAGCTGACAGCAGCACTGCTGAGACACTCAAGATCAGCAAGCCATTTCTTGAAACGTCCTGTATAGGGCTTGTAGGAGGATCAATAACGACAGCAGTGGCCGCATAGCGGCCGTAGCAAAAGTGGTCGTAGTGCCCAGTGAAGTCTTGCAAAACCTTTGCCGAAGCGACTATGTTAATACATCCGGATACAGAAGCTTCCACAATTAGGCTGTAGTTGTTGTGGTGTCTAGCAGAAAAAGCACGAACTAAGAACAACAACAAAGGCGTGTGCAGCGAGCGGCACACGAAGAGCCCTCCAACACAGCTGTCCGAACTACATGTCTACGAGTCTGGGAGTCTAGGACCTACGAATTCAGGGTTCAGATTTAAGCCTTACTCAATCAACCCTTGGAACATCGAAACATCAACCCCAAACCAATCCCGAAGCAATGATGAAACCGTAAAGCCGTGCCGCCCATCCTCTGCAAAGCACTTCTGCACTTGCTGGAACAGCTCCGCGTCCGGGGACATGAGAGCAAAGCCTTCAAGTCACGACTTAGGCACTAAAGCAAAAGCAGATTGGGGAGATACTGGCAGTGTGCGAATGAATTCTTCTGCGCGTTCGAAATCGAAGAATCTCCCAGGTTCTCAGTGTTACAAATGGCAGAGGTACGACTGAGTCAACTCACAAAGCGATCGGAAGCTCCAAGACTTAGGCCTTCTGATGCAGCACTAACTGTTCTCACTAACTAGAAGACCTGCGGCATTCCAGCACTATGCAGCTCACAGATCAAGTAGCGTTGGGAAGCCAAGACGAGCATCACCATGACCATGGACCCTTGTAAGCCCTGGTTCCTAAACTTCGAAACCCTGTACCTTAAACTCTAAACTCTGGAGGCTGGGCCTTCAATATCCAGGTCTTCACGAGCCCGCCGAATGCAAGCGACCTGCTCGGTGATCGCAGGCGCGCATGCTCCAGGGCTTGCAGGAGAGGCAACTTACTGCAGGAGCTCCGGATTCAAGTTGCGCCGCACCAGTTTCACCCAGGCCTGGAGTATTTTAGCGTGAGCGGAAAGGGGTTCTCTCTGAGCCTACAGGCTTTCCAGCAGGATCCTTATGGAGAAACAGGACGTCCTTGGCACTGAAGTTACTGGAACCTGGGACTCCGCTTGGAAGTGCCGTGACCTTTGCAAGACAGCAACCCCGTGCTAAACCAAAGCAGTGGTGTTCACCACAAAATAGCCAGCACTGCAGGAGAGAATGCTCTCTCAGTTCAACCACTTTCCCAGTATCTAGGGTGCAAGAAGCTAGATCCTTCCCAAACGCGCTCTAACATCCAACCCGTGTCTTCTCCACGCGGAATCCCATACCCGGATGGGATATCGCCGCAATATGCGCTGCACCGAATGGACTCTGCCCTTTGCATGCAGGGCCCCGGGAAAATACATGGCTGCGTTGCCCAGCAGTGCTCCTTTCTCGATAACCTTGCACATGTGGGGGTGCTTTCAATGAGAGCTGCAGGCCGCGAAGTGCTTCCGCCAGCTACAATCCTTCAAAGTGGTCTTCGGCCTCTGGCTAGAGCAACAAGACACATGACGACGGTGTGCAAGCCCAAATCTCTGCTTCAATGATTTGCGACCGGCAGTACAACCTTTATAAAGCTCTACAGATTGAGCCTGTGGGACGTTGGGATCTCAGAGCTGCAGGAGCAAGCCTGTCTCAAAGCTATTGAAATTTCGCAGCAGCCAAGGATGTGGCCGATTTTTGATGGGTGTGCCGAGGTCCTCGGACCTCGCTAGCGCAATGCCTTGGCGTAAGGACTTTGACTGTTGTACACGCATAACTAGATACCTGCACAGTTGTACATACTAACACATGCATACAAATATCCGTGCAGGCATGCAGGTAGGCAGGCATGCAGGCATGCAGGCATGCATGCTTGCATACGTACACGCAGCGTACAAATTTGGATATGTATATGTTTATATATAAATACACATATATCCCCAAACACACACCTGTATACACGAGCACACACACGCACGCATGAACACAACACATACACACTTATTGGACACTGCATAACCGCAGGCCACCCTGAATACATGAGTGCATACATGCAAGCCGCAAGCCTGCTTGCATCGCAAAGATGCTGCTCGCGAAGCTAGGATGATTTGAGCTGGCATTTTGCCTGTGCATGTGCAGCATGCTGCATAGAGCCAGGAAGGCTTCGAACCGTCGCACACACAGCACGCTGCAACACGACACATGCACAATGCACACACAGCACACCACAACACAACATATGCACGACGCACAGCTCTGGAACTGCACCCAACGCCGCCTCTAGAGGCCTCTGTAGGATGCGGCGCGCGCTTTGGGGGTCCCGGCAGACTGTAAACGCCACTACATGCTACTGGGGAACTGCACAGACATGCACAACACAGCTAAAGTTCAGCTGCTACGGCTGAAGTTAGTATGGGGGCAGGAATTACGCTTAGGTTCAGGGGGTGTCGAGTTTCAATCCGCAAAGCACTGCAGCGATCGCACTGCTCGGGATTGAATGGGCATGAGACATCGAGTGCGACCCAGCGCCGGACACTTGCCCAGAACTTCCCTCAGGTCGTCCGGGTCTGCCCCTGCCTTGCATGGCTTGGATCGTTGATTTGCTACGACGAGTGCATGACTGTGCACGACAACGACCAGCACACTACCATCAATACTAGGCACATCGATACCGGTTGTCTCGTAACTACGAGCACGACCACCACGACGACGGCTGTGAACTGCTCTTACTGTTACTACCGCCGCAACTACTGCTGTGAACGATGGCTACTGCTACTTCTGAGTCTACTGCTACTGCCACACGCCACCTGCAGCCTGTTACCCTGCACCTGCTCCCGCTGCTCCTCCTGATCCTCTCCTCCTGCCTAACCTCTCCCCAACAGCAGCAACAACAACAACAACAGGGACAGCAGGAGCAACAGGAGCAACAGCAACGGCAGCGGCAGCAACAACAACAACAACAACAACAACAACAACTACTACTACTACTACTACTACTGCTGCTACTACTACTACTGCTGCTGCTGCTGCTACTGCTACTGCTACTGCTACTGCTACTGCTACTGCTACTGCTACTGCTACTGCCACTACTGCTACTACTACTACTGCTGCTGCTACTACTACTACTACTACTACTACTACTACTACTACTACTGCTAACCCTAATACTACGACTACTACTGCCACTGCCAGAAACACTACCACTGCCACTGCTACGACTCGTACTCACGATTCTAGTGGCGTCCTCTCAGCGAATACTTCTGGTCACTTATTGCTTTGCTCGGGACGCACGGACACTTGCGCCTGCTCCGGAACCAGGTCGCGGAGAGTGTCTTGACCGAGTTTCCGAATGGAGGACTCCTGTGCAGAGGGGCATAAACTTTACATGCCGGTACCCAACAAGCAAAGAAGATAACATGATGGCAACAAGGCTTCCGCTTCGGAAGCGCGATCACACATGTATGCATCCCTGGCAATCACTGGGTCGTGGATTCGAAACCCACTTTGGAGTGAAAACTCGATGGCGGAAGGACAGCAGGACGTAGTAGGACATGGGCGCTGGGCTGTAGTGTAGTGTGATTCAACATCTATTAGAGCATACATCTAGTTTATGTATTATGTGACGCTTACATCATGCGAATACGCCTAAGCCACCAAGCAAGCTTCAGCAAACTCGTGCTCGAATTCAGCAACTGCGCACTCAGCCTAAGCCCGAAGCCCTTATCTTCTTCTTTTCAGCCTTTCAGCATCCTGACCCTGAAGCTTCCGTCTCCGCCTCCTCAAAGACCCGCTGCTTCACGGTCATGTATCCTGAGCTCCGGCTTGCCAGGCGCATGTGTGGCCTAGTGGGCCCGTAGCGCATGGGTTGGAGTTCGAAGGGCTTATTCTTAGGTTCAAGCTTGCATCGGCAGCGCGTAGTAGATACTACCACCGTAGTGAGAAGACTTGCGACCGTGGCAGCGTATGAGACGTTGTCATCCCTTGCATTGTCATCTGTCGCAGCTCTCATTGGGCCCCTGGCGATCGGCCACATCCGAAGCAGAGGCCTTCCCTCCTCCAAAATCTAGCACTTGCCATACAGGCTTTCTTCACGTTTGACAAGCCTCCAAGCTTTATTCAAACTTGCTCCGGATAACCGGATAACCCGATAAACGAAGAGATGAGTAGCTAAGACTACGAGTTCACGAGGGTAGACTGCGAGTACACCATGATAGCGACAGCTGTCACGATAGTAATCACGGTAACATCAACTGCAAGAACAGGCACAATAGTTGTACCTGTGAAAAGCAGCATAGCACGCACACCTGTAGCGCAGAGAAACAGCTCACTATGAAGCAGAAGAAGCAGAAGCTGAGGTCCGAGGTAGAAGGCTGAAAAGATGCGATTCGAATCTGGGGCGGAGGATGAGATGCTCAGTTTGGGGAGTTTGGCTTTAGGGTTGAGAGGGTTGGGGCCTGAAGTTTCGACTGAGCGGTTTCGGGGTCAGAGATGCAGTGTAGGATTGAAGCCTTGTGGCGACAAGCTGCTGGCGAAAAGAAGATTATGGGAAGCGGCACGTGGATCCTTTCGAACTCGGACGAGCCAGCAGAAAAGGTCGTTCGTCATGGCACGTTTTATCCCGAGGGCTTTGCGCCACCCTCAGCCACCAGGAAGTACCAAGTTAGCTTCGTGGAGGTTTTAATCTGCTGCACTCTGACTTGCAGAGCGCTCCTAGTGCAGTCTTCGAGTTCGCTCTGCAAGTCGTTTAGGAGCACACTACTTCTTGCGGAAAGATGAGAGAACCAAGCCCCAAACCAGACCTGACAAAGTCGTGACTTTATAGCTGTGAGGAGGAGGCCAAACAAAAACTCTGCAGAGCATACCAATTCCTAGACATTGTGGTTTCCGGCTATCTGGGCTGTTGCTTCCTGACCGCAACACAAAGGGGTGTGTCCTGCAGGCAAGCCGAAATCCCGCAGCCTCGTCACTTTGGAGGATTTTGGTGCCATCTAGCTGGGAACGAGTTAGACCTGTATAGCCATTTCCTAAGCAAGGGTCTGCAATCTGCAAGGTCTGGCCGAATCCAATATCAGGCAGCAATACTTCCGCCTGTTCTTATTCGGATGCTAGCTACCCCTCCTGATCTTATAGATCAGACGTTCGTGTCTGTCTACATGACCTACATGCTGAAATCATGAAACCCCCCGATTCATCGGTAGAATATGCCAACGTAATCAAGGAAGGCCTCTTGCTCCCTTCTTCCGTTACTCCCGAACTTTCGTCAGCGAAACACATGACATGGAAGAGCCTCTTGTCTTCGAAAGCCCCAAACCAAAAAGGCCCAGACCTAGTAGAACCCAGAGCCACAAGCCCAACAGAAACACTCCGGGACACCGGGCCAGAGCTTCATTTCCCTGTTGCTGCCCAAGCCGAACTCCACGAAAGGCAGGGGTGCCTCGCGCAGGAGCCCTTGAGTTGACATCACCACTCCCCACCCCCAAAAAAGCAATTCCCCGATATTACTATACATATAGATATAGATATAGATAGAAATACAGTTACAGGTATAGCTATAGATACAGATATAGATACAGATACGCACATACACATACGCCGGTCCAGATGTATGTGAGTATGTGCGCGTGTGTGTTTTGCGTATACAGATGTGGACATATGACCGCATACACATACATATACACACATATACACATATATATATATATATATATATGGTCACCCCCCCCCCCCCAAGATCTACACCCGCCTCTTCCACACGACTTCTCTACATTGGTCGACTACTCATATATACCGAAAACACCGTAAATACCGATACAATCGTGCTTTACCTCATGTGCATGCAAACCGTGCTGCTGCAAGGCGCGGGTTTGATATGTGTAAAAATCTGGCGCCGAATCTCGGCCGCGGATTTATGGTAGTTTATGTGTTGGAGAAGCTGAAATGCTGGAGGGCGTGCTAGTTTTGTTCATGTAATACTAAAAAACCTCGTGTTTTTTGCATTTTATGGTGTGTTATTTAACAACATTCCTGTAATAATACAAATACTATTGTCTCTCTTACGAAGACGCCTTGGTGCGTGGGCCATATCTTTCCCGCTGCTCGTGAAGCGTCCGATTCTGATGCGGCCCAATCGCTCTAGCGTTTGATTTATGAGTTACGAAATACAGAGAGCTCCTTTCATGTCCTGTCCATTATACATGAAGGAAGTCGAATATACGGGCGCGTTTATTTTTGAGGCAATACTCCAATAGTTGTTCTTTGGCTCATAAGAGATGGGAAAGCTCCCCTGGAGTTCAAAGGTTCATGTGCATATGCGGGCGCACAAGAAAGCTCGTCTGCAGCAAAAAGTAAGAGAGCTCTTGCAACCTTCCAAACATGAAGCAGGACTGTTCATACTTATCAAACAAGAGTAATTAAAACCGTTGCTGTTCCAGAAGGCACATAAAACAATACTTCCAGTCCTTGACAACGGTTGCAAGCACCCAATTATCTTGTGATGCAGTATATCCTGTCCTGGACATCAGAAAACACTGTCATGCTCAAAAAATTCCAAAATTTCTAACCCTGAAACCCACGAAACACTGTAATGCTCAAAAAATTCCAAAAATTCCAAAATTCTGGCATCTATGGCCAGGACCGGGGCAGATTCCTTAAAAGTTTGGAGTTTTTTGAGCATAGCAATGTTTCGTGAGCTTTGAGGCAATGAAAAGTTGATTTTTTTTCAGCATTACAGTGTTTTGTAGATTTTAAACCACGAAACACTGCTATGCTCAAAAAAAATGAGCTTTGAGGCTGTGAAAAGTTGATTTTTTGTTGAGCATTACAGCGTTTTGTGCGTTTTAGACCACGAAACACTGCTATGCTCAAACAATTCCAAAATTTCTAACCCTGAAACCCACGAAACACTGTAATGCTCAAAAAATTCCAAAAATTCTGGCATCTATGGCCAGGCCGGTGGCAAATTCATTAAAACTTTGGATTTTTTTGAGCATAGCAGTGTTTCGTGCGTTTCAAGGCTTGGAAAAATTGATTTTTTTGAGCATTACAGTGTTTTGTGAGTTTTATAAACCACGAAACACTGTAATGCTCAAAAAAAATCAACTTTTCACAGCCTCAAAGCTTATTTTTTTTGAGCATAGCAGTGTTTCGTAGTTTAAAACTCACAAAACACTGTAATGCTCAAAAAAAACCCACTTCTCAGTGCCTCAAAGCTCACGAAACACTGCTATGCTCAAAAAATTCCAAACTTTTAAGGAATCTGCCCCCGTCCTGGCCATAGATGCCAGAATTTTGGAATTTTTGGAATTTTGTTGAGCATTACAGTGTTTCGTGAGTTTCAGGGTTATAAATTTTGGAATTTTTTGAGCATAGCAGTGTTTCGTGCTCCCCATGCCCCAAGAACCACGAAAGCGTAGATCTTGCCGGGGGGGGGGGGGTGAGCATCTATCTATATATATATATATATGTATTTATATATACAACATGCAAATGCATATACACATGTATATATGTATGTATACATACTGCTTGTTTTGCAATGTCTACACATGCTTATGTGCATATACGTCTACGTACACATGCACACACACACACACACACACGTACGTATACATGTATATGTACATACACATACATATATACGTATAAGAGACATATGCAGATATGTATATATATATATATATATATATATATATATATGTGTGTGTGTACACACATACATACCTACATACATACATACATACAGACATACATACTCATATACATATACGTAAACCTCACAGGTAGACACACATCTATCTATACCTATCCCTATACCTCTACATGCATGTGTACATGTATATATGTATACGCGAATGTAAGGTAGCATGTGTATATACGTATAAAGAGAGAAATACACATTCACACATCCTTGATTACAGGCAGGCAGGGGGGCAGACAAACATAAGTATCGAGCTATGCACCTATCTATCAAGTATCCTGTTTTGCATGTACAGTCTTCGTCACGGCTTGGCGGTGTAGTAACAGTATCTCCAAACGGGCCTTATGTTTCGATGACTTGCAGTGCTGCCAGAGAAGTTCCCAGGCTCAACGAGTTTGATGACCCACTGATTCTGCACGGATTTTGGTGCCAACTTTGCCACTGTCGAAACGGCTACAGCCCAGGTAAGTTGCGGCCCACCTCGCTCAGCCGGAACACAAGGTCCGGCTTTCTGCCGGCCTTGATCACACTGATTCAATGCCTGCTGATCTTTGCACTTGCGGAAGTATGACCATCCTATGTGCCTGGGCTTGAAGACGTTAAGTAGCAGAAAGGCATCTGCATTGAACTCACAGCAAACAGACCATTGCGAACAGCAGTAACACAAGGGAAGCTGGATCTGACCTTCATGGCATCGACTGGAAACAACTGAAACAACACATTCCAGCCAAGCGAGGCACTGCAGACAGCCGGCGAGACTCCAAGTGAGCTTTCAGGTCGTCGACCTCGGCAACGTGGCCGTTCATGTAAGCAACGCCCAAAACACAGGCTAACTCCGAAGTCTGAACACTCCCTCT